GTAAACGGATGTGGTTGAATATAACCTCACGTTGCAAGACACCTATGAACGACGTGTTATAGTAACTCACATCGCGGAGATGCCCGCAACAAATGTGCTGGTGATAACCCACGCTGGAGAGAGCAAACTCACCTTGTGCAGCAACCGCTCTTCTTGGGCAACACCAGTGCCCAGCGTGTTCAAGAGAGTGGGACAACCAGGCGACTGGCCAAGCGAAGACCTCCGTGACCACATAAATGCGGCACGAAAAAGCTGGAGAGCCATAAAAAGTTTGTGGAAAGCAGCATCCAGCCACTAGCAGTTGGATGCATTGTAGAAAGCCCTCGATGAATCCTGGCTCAATAGGACGGCATGAAACCGGACACGGGAAAAATCGTTCTCTCACATAGCGCTTTTTGCACCTTTCCCATCAAGGTTCAAAATGCTCGACATGAAAGCTTTTGATGGGATGACGAACCCCCCCTACCTCGCCGCCAACCCCAAAGCGAAGACCTCCGTGACCACATAATGCGGCACGAAAAAGCCCGAGAGCCCATAAAGGTTGCAGAAAGCAGCACTTAGCAAACTACGCGTTAGATACATTGCGGAAAGCCCTCATGAAACTCTTGGCTCATATGACGAGCATGAAACCGGACAAGGGGAATCTCATTCTCTACCATAGTGCTTTTTGCACTCTCCCATCAAAGATAAAAGCTCGACATGAGGCTTTTGATGGGAATGCCGAACACACACCAACCACACTAGTAACTCACGTCGCGGAGATGCCCGCAACAAATGTGCTGGTGATAACCCACGCTAGGAGAGAGCAAACCACCTTGTGCAGACAACTCGCTCTTCTTGGGCAACAACCAGTGCCGAGCGTGTTCAAGAGAGTGGGACGAACAAGGCGACTTGGCCCAAGCGAAGACCTCCGTGACCACATAAATGCGGCACGAAAAAGCTGGAGAGCCCATAAAAGGTTGGGAAAGCAGCCATCCAGCCATCTGCAGTTGGAGCATTGTAGAAAGCCCTCGATGAACTCCGGTCAATAGGACGAGCATGAAACCGGACACGGGAAACTCTCTCTACCCTAGCGCTTTTGCACCTTCCCATCAAGGTTCAAAATGCTCGACATGAAGGTTTGATGGGAATGACGAACCCCCCCTACCTCGCCGCCAAACCCCAAAGCGAAGACCTCCGTGACCACAAAATGCGGCACGAAAAAGCCCGAGAGCCCATAAAAGGTTGCAGAAAGCAGCATCTAGCAACTAGCAGTAGATACATTGCGAAAGCCCTCAGAACTCTTGGCTCAAGTAATCAAGTCATGACAAATGGTGCCAAAGCCATAACTCCCTAACGCAACGTGGACATAACTCGAATTCTTCAGTTGAGGCAAAAGAGAGCTCTCTTTGCTCTCTGATCTACCCTCATTACTAGAAAGTTCTGGTTGCAATGCCAACAGTCTGCGATAGGGGTGCAGAGTAAACAAATTGCGTGCTTGGAGAACTCGAGGAAGAAGAAGATGCGTCATCTACTTATCCACAAAACTCGGCGGAAGAGACGCTATTCTCAAACATCTGAAAACATGAAGACCAGTATTAGTTATAAGCCCTAGGGTAACACTCTTCAACTGTGTGTATAAAGCGCTCTAGTTACTGGCCTTCAAACGTACTTACCTTGGCCTCAGAAGGCGGAAATCTTTCCCTACTGCCTCCTAGCCACTAGTTTGTGCCTACTACACAAGAATCTAGCCTAAAACCTTTGTAGCAGTTCTACAGAAGCCAATAGTCGAGGCCAACGACAAAGAAAATAAAGCAAATAAGCAAGCAAGAGGAAAAGAGAAAACTACCTTTGCAGCAACTTTGCAGAAGATCACCGGAAAAGTCACAGAAAAGCCATAAAAGTCTGGTTTGGAAAGATAATGCAATACTAAGTTGCTAGGGTTTTTCTTTTGCAAAGCAAAAGAAGAATCAAGTAAACTACGGTTCAAGTCCCAACTTATAGTAAGGCAATTTTGAGGAATTATAGAGGCTACGAGCGGAATCAACCCCAGGCGTCAATCATTTCAATGTGGCAATGATAAAGGGCAAAAGAAACATTTACCGTCAGAGGAAACGTGAGTAACTGCACCGTTAGTGTGTCAGCATTTAATGCACAAAAGAATGTCAGTTAGCACACCTGCATAAATGCGTGATTATACATTTGTGTAAAGATAAAACTTGCTCTCGCATGAAGTAGATTGCAGTAAGCAGATCATGTTGTCAAAACACTCCACCCTCAGTCAACAATTCTGGGCTTATGCTCGCCATGCAGGACATCGTGTCATCGTGCTCACGAAGGAGATAGTAGTATTTGCACCCATCAAAGGTAATATAGTTCGTGATCACGACCACGCTGCGACGACTCCAAGCAAAGGACACAAGTTTTTAAGTCCAATTTCGAACTCCAGAAACTGGAGGGCAAATGTGGGCGGTCAATCCTAGAAACGCGGATTATGTCACTGCCATTTAATTTAGAATTAACTTATTTATAAATTATCCCTATAACATATATAACTTCATTTACTAATTAGATCTTTTCATTCCTACTTTAAAGCTATATTTACGTGAAAACAAAAAGTCAGCACAGAAAACAATAAAAAAAAAAGAGTATAGGTTTGTATCAAACATTCAAATCACTTTAAAATCTTTTGTTATTTGTGCTTCGATTTATTCGTGATTCAACATTCCATCACAGATTTCATACATCCCTTACATAATTTACCAATGAATCTACATACATCTCGTTGGTGCAAATCTTAACATCAACAGTAAGTTATTTTAAAAATCCTCTGATTCACCCACAAAATAAATTGAATGTACTTTATTTGAGATCATAAAATATCTCATATTTAAACTTCTTTATATAAGACTTATCAAATATATGAATATATCATATTTCAATATTTTACAAGAAAAATATTGCCTGATAGTCAATGGAGCCATCAAATTAAATCAAGATTTTGATCATTTCTATAAGAATCTTACTATTTATGCTTTATTATTGTCTGTGGGGTTCAGAGATTGCATTTACGGTGTAGCTATATGCATTAAATTGGAAGAAATCAAATTGAGTAAAAAATAACATATATATTATGATATTGGGGTAAAGGATTGCTAATTGTTACATATTAATAAACAAAGATACGTTAGTATTGCATCACTTTAATGAAGGTTTTTATTTTTATTTTTTATTTTTTTAATTAGTAAAATTTTTTTTTACATTTTAATGTGTCAAATTCAATAAATAATTATTGATATTCTAATATATATCTACCAATATCCTTAAAAATTTGCCTATTAATATTAAGCTGTGATATGAGTGCTGATTGCATTATTGGACATAAATTGACAATAAAAGATGGAGCGAAATGGAATTACTTAAACCTTGTTAAAGTAATATTTGCATAAAGTAAATTGTATCGGAATCTATTATACACACAACTTTAATTAATATTAGTAAAATAAATAACATTTACACATCTAGTCAAAGGAACAATAGATTAATTATCAAAATATTAATATATGTAAATTAAATTAGACAAATTAAATAATATTGAAATATATATTGTTATTGTAAGTATTGATATTATAAGCACGTTAATGAATTAATTGTCTTCAAAAAAGGCAAGTTGCGATTTGTGTTTTTGTGCTAACTTGATTAAAATATATTGTTGTATTACTTATGTAAATCTTGGTCCACATATTTATGATTAAAATGTGGCACCTAATCTTGTCCCCTCTCAATAATGACAATACATCATTGAAATATTAATCAGCACACATTATACATCATTGGTGCGTTGCTTGTCTGTGTGTGGAAGAATGTGGATTTATCATATTAATACCACTTTTTTTTTTTTTTTTTTTTTTTTGTAAAAAGAAAAATAATAAGATCTTCTGATACTGTTGATTTCTTATATTCCTGACCAAATCACATTATACCTTTTCTATTTGAATTTCAAACTTAAATCAAAGTTACCAAACCCTCTCCTATACTTCACAGGCCGGGGAGATTCGATCCAATATTTCTGTAGAATACTAAAACAATCAACCGAGTGGCATATACTAAATCAAATTTAAAATTAAATCCCTATTAACTTAAATCAATCTCGCTATGACTGAAAAATGAAGTGATATATTTAAATACTCACATGTGAATAAAGTGAGGATTTTTTTTTTTTTTCACATCCAGGCCTGAAAATGAATAGTAACTTAAAACTAGAGGTGATTAAGAGAAGAATGAGTAGGCATGCCAATGTTCCCCGAGTTTCGGGGACCCGTCCAAGCCCTGGTTTTTGTGGGATAGGGGCGGGGGTGGGGGGTGTTTAATCCGTCCTCTGGGATGGGCGGGGGGGGTTGATGCCTTTCCCCCGGCCCGCCCCGTATATAATATATAAATTAACAAAATGTAAATAATATTTACTTTTCACTAATATCCCTATATTTCACCTAATTACACAATTATCCTACCTATATTTCCTAATTTCCATCCCTAAACAATTGAACAAGAACAAACCTTGACCATATTTATGTATAATTAATTATTTTTAAACGATAATTTAAGTGTTTGTCATGTGGACGAGAATAACTATGTGTGTTAGTAATACTCAAATTAATTTATGTTATATAAAATTAACGGGGCAGGGACGGGCCTCCAACCTTCCCATTTGGGTGGGGAAGGGGAATTCCTGTCATCCGTAACGGGGATGGGGTGGTTGGTGGGAATGATTTTGAGGGTGGGGATGGGTACGGTGAAGGAGTCCCCGCTGCCCCGCCCATTTGACAGACTAAGAATGAGGTCACATCTGAAATCACCTATTGTCCATAAAAACATACAAAATCCTGAAACCCTAAGCCTATCAAAGTTATCCTGATCAACTAATTAAGCATATCTCCTTCTCAATAACTTCCCCTTCTTAGTATATAAATATTGGAGTGGACATTATCAGAGTAGAGAAGATTTGGAGGCTATAACAGATCATGGACAATATTCCATCATCCACGTTTCACTTTGACCAAACCGATCATGATCATCATGATCTTCTGGTTCAATTATCTTCTTATCCTAATTGCCAACAAGATCAATCCAACAACTCTGATTTTAGACAACCCACAAAAGCATCAAACGCTAGTTTTGGTGTCAATGACGACAATCCCAGAGACAGTAAGAAAAGAAAGATAATGCATAGAGATATCGAACGACAAAGAAGACAAGAAATGGCTACCCTTTATAGGGATCTACGATCTCTACTTCCTCTTGAATATCTCAAGGTCAACATCTTTCATTAATTTCCTTTTGTTATATGAACTCTTTTGCATAATTTTCTGCAAATCTTACTTGTATTAAGATCAAAGAACTTTGTCATCTCTGTAATCAGGGGAAGAGATCTATATCTGATCACATGTACGAGGCTGTGAAGTATATAAAAGATCTACAAAGTAGGATCCAAGAGAAGGGTGAGAGGAGAGATGAACTTCAAAGATTTTCGGAATCATCAGCATTAAGTTTTCCATCCGAATGCTCACAAGTTGATAAACATAAAGAAGACAGTGTCACGGTTAGAGCTTGTTTGGAAGGAATAGAAGTTGTTGTAAGTACTACCTTGACAAAAGGGCTTCCTCTTTCGAGAGTGCTGGAAGTTCTCAGTGGAGAAGGCCTAAATATCGTTAATTGCATGTCCACTAAAATAAATGAAAGTTTTCTACACACTATTCAATCTGAGGTAATTTTAAGTTGTCAACCCTTTGAATATTAGGAAAATATATAGCTTTAATTTCTCTTGTTATGTATGAACCAATGGCTCCTCTAATCTCTAAATTCATGCACCATGTACAGGTGAGTGATGGAAGAAGCATTGATATGTGTGAACTGCAACGAAAAATAATGAAATCAACATTCCCATGATTGAATTAGCGAGGTTCTGATATACTGATTGATGTGTGATTGTGTCAATACTATTCAACCTCGCGAAAGGTTGTTGCTTAGCAGGTATTTCTTCTGTTTTCATTAGATTGATGCTCATGTTGCTAATAATAAATTTCGGCAGCCCTTTATTTTGACATAAGAGTTTATTATGTTGGATTATCAATTTGTTGCTTCTTTCTTATTAATTCATGCATCTAGCTTCATTCCCTAGCCACACAATATATGGTTCATTGATCTTTTCATTAAAATTTCTGGTTTCCATTAATGCTGAGTGATAGATTCCTGCTGATGATCTATTTGCGTTTATCCTTCTTTGGCTTTTGAATTTGTTATATATATATTATTTCCTTAATTCAATGTCTTCGTAATCCGGATCACATTTTAAGTTGTTGATTAATGATTTATTATCGTTAGAAACCGATAGAAAAGAAAAACAAAATGTTAATCAAATTTTCCTTAATATCAAAAATTTTAAAAATTTGTTGGCTTTAGTATTTACACCAAAGAGAAATATCCAAATTTTACAAAAATGTGCTCGCATTTTGGAAGTTTGGTATAGGTATGTTAAGCTATGTTAAGTTGCTATTCTATACCTAAAAGAAAAAAAATACTAGGTGAGATAGCCTTAACATTTTATTTGAGTGCAATAAGACTCCTCACACAACATTTATATTTGAGTCTAATAAGACTCCTTACATGAAACTTAGATTTTATTTTTTATCCAGTTAAAATATGGGGATTTCAACTTTGGAACTTTGACTAAATATTGTTGGTGCAAAGTTCGAAATCGACCAAAACATCGAGATGTGAGCACTCGTCGACCAAGTATAATCAGTTGACCAAGGAAGGAACTGAGTAAGATGAGTGCATAATTCTGAGGAATTAGCAAAGGTAAGTGTGTGTGGTGAGGACAACGTCGAAATTGATGGTTGCTTTTAAAATGGTTCGGTCGAACAAGAAATCAAGGCTACGTCCACTGATTCTCTTTTTTCTTTTCCGAGATGAGTGATTACAAAGAATTAAGTAGACCAAAAAAAATTGTCCTTTCTTTCCTCTCTCTATATAGTTTTCTCCCCCTTTTTTTAGGGTTTTAGCTTGGTATTTATAGGAATTGCAATGGCGATCGTTGGTGGGGATTACATTAGCAGAATGATTGTTGTTGGCCTAATAGATTTGGGACGATTGAGGGCATTAGAGCATTATAATGCTCAATCCCAATCATAGCTTTAATTAACTTAAGTTTGTCAGAAAGTAGTCGCTTGGTTAGGAGCGGCTACTGTATGCATTGCATGTGGTGACCATGTAGTTTGGTAGGCATATTAGGTGTCGCAATAAGCGTTGAAGTCTATTGACACCTGGCTCGTTCGTCACGAGCTGGCACTTGTCTCGGGCAGATGTTTTCCTCAACTTGTTTGGAGCGGTACCCAAACTAGGATCTTTGCGTTTTTTTCCGAGCTCAAGCTAGATTTTTTTCCCCACATAATAGATACCATGTTAAATTGCCATTCTATCTAAAACTTAAGTTAATAGGTAAGAGTCTAACATTTATATTTGGCATCCAATATGATATTTTTTTCAAGAAAGGTCTGGAAGATTGTAAAGCTTTTATTCAATAAATTATGAGAAGTAGTATAGCTTATGTATAGAAAGCTAACAAATATCTGTCGCAAAATATGGAACAGAATGTCCAGTCAGCTTAACAACATGCAAGTGTAAAATACAAGCTAAGCATGATATATCTAATATTACTGTTAATGCTTAGTTAATGTTTAACAACAAACAATCTCTTGCTTTCATTGCCTATTAACTTCAACACCTCGTAGGATCCACTCCTCTCCTAACCTGAGCTTTATTTTACCTAAGCTTTTAATCATCTTCACATATGGCACTAATAAATTTTATGGCCAAGATTTATTGTGATTAGTTTTTACTCTTTCACCCTCAACCAACAGCCAGTTTCCTTTAATATCAAAATAAGAAAAAGAGACAGTAAGTTTTCTCCCTCCAAAATCCATGTTCTAACTTAAAAGTCTTTTTTAACTGTTTCACCTTTATTATTTAGAAATCAATAAAGAAAGTCATTTGTGTTATGATAATCAAGACCTGGCTTCTTTTCTTATTAATTTTGTGTTATCATTTGTGTTATGATAATCAAGACCTGGCTTCTTTTCTTATTAATTTTTTGTTTTTCATTTGTGTTATGATAATCAAGACCTGGCTTCTTTTCTATTAATTTTGTGTTATCATTTGTGTTATGATAATCAAGACCTGCTTCAAAACTTAAGCTGTATTTTTAGTATTTTTAGTAACATAGGTTGGGAGGATAGAAGAAACAAATTAAAAGATTACATTTTGAAATTGTTAAATAAAAATCATTAAAGAATTTGACTACACATTTTATTAGTGCATATGTCAAAGATAATAAAAGCTTAAGTAAAGCTAAGGTCAAGAAGAGGATCTTTCAGATCTCCTTAGCATTTACCTCAACATCCACTGGTAGCACAGCAATTTTCATTGTAGCTAAAATATGAATTTGCATAGCTAAACGGTTTAGCTACAATGTAATGTTTTGTAGCTTATCGTAGCTAGAAGTGGCGCAGCAAAAAGTTAGCCATATAACTTTTTGCTTACGTAGCTAACAGTTTATATTTTTTGCTATGAATGATTAATATGAACTAAAAACTTGGATGTTTTTGCCACACACACAATAAGCTTTAGCAAAAGCTTTGCCTTTATAGCTATGAAGAATAGTTAGTATAGCTATGTTGTATTTTAGCTACATAAATATAAATTTATAACTGAAACTTGAAAATTCCTGCTACAAAAATAATATCCATGGCAAATATTAATATTTTGGCTTCGTGAACATTAAATTCGTAACTAAATAAAAAGATCATTTGTCACATATATAGTGAATTCGTAGCTAAATATTAAATTTTTGCTATGGACATATAAAAATCATATCTATATGTAAAGTATTGTCATGGACATAGTGTGTTAATAGCTAAATATTGAAATTACTTGTTAGAATACTTTTGATTTGTAGCTAAATATTATAATTATTTGCTATGAAACAAATAATTTATATCAAGAATTTATAATTTATTGCTTCGATTAAAATTAATTGTAATAAATATTGTTATAATTAAAAAATTTAATAATAATTACAAATTTATAGCAATATTTTTATTAATAGATATATAACGTCATGAGAAAAATACTAATATAAAAATAAAACATTAATAAGTCTTTCAACCAAATAATTGTCTACTCACAAAATTTTCATCCTAGTAATTAAAATGTTACCAATTAATTTTTTACAAATATGAATGTTTCAATGTCATAGCAACCTTTGGTGACCATTTAAGAATTTCCACCAACCTGCAATATCAAATTTGAAAAAAAAAAAAACAAAAAGATTAATCATATGATCAATGTAATCATTGCATATCACTTTATGATTAATTTAAAGAAAAATAGTTTTCATAGTATATATACAATTTTCAAAATAACTTACAATTTCATCCAAGGGATTTGGTTATTTGTTGAAGATTGTTGACCTTGAGTTGTAAGCATCATCATGAACTCTCTTCCCATCATCTCCTCCATTTGCCTTTTCACTGTCCTAATTTCTCATTTGCTTCCTCTTTGCTTCCTTAACCCTTCATTTGCTTCCTTCCTAGTTATTTGTACTTGTTTCTAAGTTATGCTTTAGTTGGTCTATTTCCAAAACCATAAGCACGCAAATAGCCATTTTTCTCCGGACCAAGGACCTCTTCAAATATTACATCATCATTCAATAAGATTGTCTTCCTACTTGTTTTTTTAATCAATCAAACTGTGACTACAAAATAAATTTATAAATTAGCTTGGATGTGTGTGCATAATAAAAATCAAGAAATAGTTAAAGAGAATACAAGCTATTACAATAGTCTTCTATACTGATTCAGCTTGCATTCCTTTCTTTCTTTTGAGATTTCAATCCAAACTTCAACACGAGAAGGAGTATATAAACTAAATCTTTTTTTAAAAAAAAGGAAAGATAGGGGAAATTAGAAACAGCAAGGTCTCTTATTCATATTTGACAGGTTTCTTGTTCAGGTTTATATCAATGACTTCCATGGCGTGAATTAAAACATTTTTACAATAAAAGTCAAGTCAAACTAATCAAACTCGTCATTGATGAATTTTAAAAGAGAGAGGCAAAATCATGGGCCACGGAAACTTGTTTCGCTTTAAAATTAAATTAAACATAGTTCCATAATATACACTTCAAACTGAACTATATTAGTAATTGAATATGCATGACAAGAATTTTGAGTGGGACCAAAATCCAAACTACAAGCTCACTTAAATCACGTGGTAATATTTTTTAACCCATGTGAAATTTATATTATTATATTAGTTACTGAATATTATTATACGAAAGCAACAAGAACAGAAACATTTATATAAATGCATCCATAAACAAGGCAATTGATCCTGTAACTTTGCGACAAAATTTTAGATTCAATTGATTCCAGTGGCCATGAAGAGAAAAGAGTGCAAACAGTTTTCATGTTCTGGGTGTGGGCTGTGTTTTATAAATTAAAAGTACTGAAAGAGACTTAAAAGAGTTGACATATTTGTTGCAATTAATTTTTCCAATGCTTCATCACAGATATCATATGCATCAACCTTTTCTTCAACGACTGCACTCGCACTACCTCAACCTAAACCTTGTTTGACTTTTCACAGTTGTGGGACAAATTTTATTAACATACGATTTTTTGCATCCATAAACAACTTAAAACTCATTTTAAGAGAACTACTTGCTTTAAAAATTGTGTGAAATTGGAGGTTGGAGATTTAATGGTTAAAACTCCCACAACAATTATCTATAAGGCAATTGGGTTCTATTAAATTACAGACACAATCACATAAACACAAATCTCATAACAAGTAAAACTACAGACACAATCACACAAAAACAAACACAAACACACGGCTACA